TATGATTTTTTAAAACTATCGTAAATGTCTGTTCTGTGCCTTCTTATCTGGGGGAATTCTCTGTGGCTTGGGGTTCAAGTGTGTTCTTCCAGAAGGTTTGCTTTTAAAACTTGTGCTGGAGGCCTGAGGGACTGGTGGACACAAGGCTACTTTAACTCTGTTGGAGGGTCCACATAACCATGAGCCTGACAAATTAGCCTTCCTGCCGCTCCCTGCCCTTTATTGTGCATAAGTCTGGGCTGTCATTCCAGGCCCGGGTGGGCATGTGCTCCAGGGAAACCCCGGCTTCCTTAGTGGCCAGCTGCCCACATTTCAGGTTATGTTGTTCAGTTTTCATTTGTGTGTATGAGGCTCACTGGGTAAGTCTACATGGGTGTCTGAGATTCCCCTCATTTCCTTGTGACTTTACAGTACGTTGCTGTACTTTATTGAGAATCCTTTGTGTTGCCGTCAGGAGCATGGGTTCCAAATGTCTCTTCTGCCACCTGTGTGGGAGCAGAAGCCCCTCCCTGGTCATCTCTTGCCCAGAGCTTTCTACTTGTTGTTGGGTGGGGCAAGAAGCACTGTATTCCTATTAATTCTGTCTGGTTTTCCCATCTGACTCAGGATCACTGCCTTCAAGTCAGTGCTTGAGAGGACAGTTACCCTGAATGATAACCTGTAGGTAGGCATAAAGCCATCAGTTCCAGACAGAGCCCAAGCACACCAACCAGTAAAGGGCAGAGTCTCCACACGCTGCTTAACTATAATAGAACAAATAATAAACCTATAGGAAGAAGGTGGGGGGGGACAGCAGGAGAGGAGGGCCATGACTAAGCATCAACTTCTACCTTAACTTGCCGTTTGCAAACATTGCTCCTTCTTGGCTGGAACAAATGGGAGCTCTCTTTGCTGTTTGGTTTTTCTCATCTGGTTGACGAGAGAATGAGTTCCAGGTTTTCCAGTTAACAGCACGTGGTTTTGTTGAACTGTGTGCTTTAGAGGTCTAGTAAAATCAGGTGGCTTTCATTTATGCTAATGTATGATCATTTGAGTATCATGAATGTAAATTTTACTAACCCTGAAAAAATTACAGGCATTTCCAACGTATCCCACGTTCATTTTAATGAATGGTTTTTCGAGGAGGTTAGAGACTCACCTTCCCATGTGTTCAGGATGGCTGGTTTCTTTTAAGCATTCGGTGTCCTGTAATGACAACCCCTGCAGCGGGGAGCATTTGACACCAGCTCCGTGCAGCTGGCTTGCACCATCATGAATCACTTCGCGCCAAGTCATTAATAATTGAAGGAGCTTGTCACTTCCCACTGAGTTGCGTGTGTAATTTATGGATTCTGAGCCCATGCTAAAATCTCAGGGAAAGCTAATTTCATCCAACGAGAAAGGGATACGTTTCTGTTTTAATTCTCCCTCCCTGAAGTTATGTCTGCGCCTGTTTGCATCTGGACGTGTTGTCAATGGTTATGTTAGTTTCCGTCTCCATCACAGTAGACGTCCTTCTTTGGGGTTGCAGGGAGATATTTCAGGTTCCTGCTTGGATTGTCCTTGAGAACCAGGGAGGCCACGGTGGGCCAGTCTCAGGGTCCTGGGAGTTTCTATAAAAGGCTGAGCAGGCCATGTTCCAAGGTATTTTGTGGAATCACTGTCAGCAAGCAGCCTGATTCTAAGTGGCCAGAAACCCCACCATCTACAGAATCAGGGGCCCAGGAACAATTTTCTATTCTTTCATCCATGAGATGTCCTTTTGAAGAACGTGTCCATTTGGGTCAAGCGGGTCTTTTTCGCCTCTCTGATGCTGCTAAAGAGAAGGATTCTCCGACTCAAAGTCTTTCCTCTTGGGGTAGGGTAGAATTTTGGCACCATTTCGCTTTGGTTATAGTATTTCTCCACCCATCACCCCAAACTTCTTATTTAAAAAAATTTCAAACCTATGGAAAAGAGGAAAGAAAATCACAGTGAACACCACCTGCGCTTCGCCTAGACACACAAGGAAGTCACTTGGTGGAGGCTTCTCCTACCTCGTCGGTCTCGGGGGTTTCTTCTTCTTCTTTTTTTTTTTTTTTTTAATATTTATTTTAGTTTTCGGCGGACACAACATCTTTGTTTGTATGTGGTGCTGAGGATCGAACCCGGGCCGCACGCATGCCAGGCGAGCGCGCCACCGCTTGAGCCACATCCCCAGCCCGGTTTCTTCTTCTTCACATGTGTTCAGAGAAGGGTCCTGCCTTCCCCTGAACGGTGGTAGTGAAGTGAGTCCCAAGCCCCAAGTTGTTACAGTGAGAAGAATTTAGAACCGAATTGATTTGTTAAAAGCCAGACAGCCCTGTCCACTCATCCAAATGCAGCTGGATTCAGTAGGAATTGGTTTGGTCTAGTTCAATAGACGGATTGCTTTTGTATTTCACAGTAGTTACCTTAAACAGTGAAGATCAGGAGAGCCATGACATGAGACTTCCTTTTTCATTTACTTTAATAACTGTTAGGACTGGCTGTATGATAAATTCTATTCATTCAAAGTTTTACATTTGGTAAACACCTCGGAGTAATCCTATCTCAGCCATTTGTATGTACCAGAGACATAGCCAGGAAATAGGAAATCTGCAGAGTATGGATATCAAGGAGGCCAGTTAGTTCCCAAAGCCCAGGGACTGTGTCCTCAGGCAAACCCTGGAGGAATTCCTCTGGTTAGTGCTTCTTGACTCTATGCTGGATTCCTATAAACCTCTTACCCAGGGGAGAAAGAGAAAATGAGTCTTTCCCAGGTGAGCACATCAAGTACCTCTAAGAACCTTCCTCTGTGCCTGGGACTTATTTAATCCTCACAGAGCCCTGTGAGGGCCATGAGGAAGCTGAGGCCCAAGGCATAAGACAGACAGACAGCCCTCTTGGTCACTAACACACAACACTGATTCAGGAACGCAGGTCTGTCTGGCTTGACCTACGAGGATTTGGGGCAAGTGATGCAATCCGGGATCATAGTGTAAGGCCCAAGCTGAGGCTCTTCTGGAACCTACTAGGGCTCCTTGTACAAATGCACCCGTTTGTGTAATTGTTGACCACAATGATCTTGAGGCACCTAAGAAAGGTTACATTTTGACAATGGCCATTATACATTTTGCTGATGGACGGTGTGATGGGGATTCTCACCATCAGCCCCAATTCAGTAGGACAGGCCTTGGAAACTGGATGGCGGGAGATTCCCCGGCCTCACCCCCTGCCGTACCATCTACATCTGCGTTAGAGGCTCTTTCCTCCTCCCCTTTCACTTTCTATGTGTGAAAGCTCTCTGAGCCCCAAGGCCCACAGGGAGTGGAGGGAGGAGGACAAGGGGCTCTCTACAGTGTCTCCCTGGTGGTCCCGGCCTTTGGACCAGTGCAGCTTTTCAATCAGTGCCGCATCCTCAGGCTGGGTCTGGTCAGTGTTGGTGGAAGGACCCAGAGCCACTTCCTGTACTCTGTGCCACAAAGTGCCGTCTAGCTCCTTCATTCCCTGGTCATATTGCTGGGTGTCTGCCAGGTAGGACATGCTGTGACTGGGCGGTGTCTTGCAGAGCTGACATGCACAGGCATTGAACTGGCCGCTGTATGGTTCTTGGTGATGGTGGGCAATGCCCTCCTGAAGGGAAAGTCAGAGTGTGTACAGTCCAGGCAGGAAGAGTGTGGCGAGTTCCTTGGGTCTCTTAGAAGGGTCTCACGAGGTGGAGGAGCTAGCAGGAAAAGGGGCCAGCCTGGGGCACCAGGGTATGTCTCATCCCTGCACAAATCCTTGGCCCTCACATCCAAGGTCAGATGCCACTTCTTCCTCAGAAAGTCCCCTGGCACCCTGTCCTTTCTCCCTCCAGCAAGCATTCGTCCTTCTGATTTCCACCTGTGCTGAACATCTAGCGTGTGCCAGGCACATAAGAAAGACAGCTGCCACCCAGACACTTGGCACCGGTGGCCTGACCAGGAGTAAACATCACAGCTGCCACTCCTGGCCGGGCACTGCAGGGGTTCACTCCTGTGGGCGGCCCAGCTACCCAGGAGGTGGGCAGAGGGACATTTCCCATTCTGCTGATAAGGAACCCTAAGGGAGGTCAGCACACTGCTCAGACACACAGAAAAGAAGAAGATTATCCCAGGCGTGATGAGGAGGGCTCCAGGGTCCTGAAGGAAAGCCGTGGCAGGGAGCCTTTCTATGGGGAGCCTGCAGGGGGGTGGTGGCAGGTGGCCTGGCTCTCTTGGCAGTCAGACTTTGGTTTCAGCCCTGATTCGACTATTTCTCAGTTGTGGACTTTAAATCACCGAACTTTCCAGACCAGACCTCCCCTCTAGTGACTCGAAACTAAGGTGCTCAGGTCTGCTTTATAGAGTTGAACGCAGTCATCCAGGTGCGCTCAGCAGGGCACTTGGCGGTGGCCACTCCAGGAAATGGCAGTTCTCTCTTAGAAACTTGACATGCTTCTTTGTCAGACTGCAGCATCTTCGTCATAGTGTCTGTATGTGACCTCCCTGGGCCCCTCCCTGAGGTCATGCGTTCCTGTCAGGCACACAGTGAATGTTGGTAGGTTGAATGAAGGATGGAGTGAATAGCAGTCCCCACGCGGCAGGTGTCTCTTTGCTGAACACTGTATTTAGCCTTCTGATAAAAGTCTCCTCATACACTATCTTTGGGAGAGAATGTCTTTTTTTTCCTCTGAAATGCCCAGGCATGGTACCTGACTCCATGGAGCTGGGGGCTACAAGGAACTAAGTGCAATTTGATTTTTGTGGTTTAATGTAAGGGTCAGAGCTTCCGCTGCCGTCCCTGCTGAACCATTGCTTTAACAGCTCAGCCATTGATGGGAGATAAGCAGGAGAGGCCCAGGTATCAAGGATGAGGTCTAGTCTTCAAGCAGATCCGCCCATTGCCCCAGGTTTTTTAATTGCTAACTGGTGTTTGCATACATTTGGGCACCTGAGTCTCCAACAGAGATCTAATCTGTGTCCCCTCTGTCTCCCATCCCTCCCCATGTCCTCGCCCAGCAGGAACGGCATCACCAGTTGCCGGATGCGGACTGAGAGTGAGCCATCCTGCGGCTCCCCCGTGGTCAGCGGAGACCCCAAGGAGGATCACAACTATAGCAGTGCCAAGTCCTCCAACGCCCGGAGCACCTCGCCCACCAGCGACTCCGTCTCCTCCTCCTCCTCCTCGGCCGACGACCACTACGAGTTTGCCACCAAGGGGAGCCAGGAGGGCAGCGAGGGCAGCTTCCAGAGCCACGAGAGCCACAGCGAAACGGAGGAGGACGACAGGAAGCCCAGCCAGAAGGAGGCCAAGGATGCCCTGGGGGACAGCGGGTACGCATCCCAGCACAAGAAGCGCCAGCACTTCGCCAAGGCCAGGAAGGTCCCCAGCGACACGCTGCCCCTCAAAAAGAGACGCACGGAAAAGCCCCCTGAGAGCGACGACGAGGAGATGAAAGAGGCAGCCGGGTCGCTCCTGCACTTGGCAGGGATTCGGTCCTGTTTGAATAACATCACCAATCGGACGGCAAAGGGGCAGAAGGAGCAGAAGGAAACCACAAAAAACTGAAAACAAGTCATTGATTTGTTTTGAACTTATGGCCATTTGGTTTCAGCATGTCAGGAGATTTCTAATGATTTGTGGCAATATCAGCAACTTTTTTTTCTTTTGGTTTGATTTTCTTTCTTTTCTTTTTTTTCTTTCTTTTTTTTTTAATTTGCCCCCCTCTCCTTTGTTTTGGACCCTTAAGAATTTTATTTTTAAAGGAGATTGAAGCCATAGAACTCATATTGACACTCAGCTGTTTTACAAAAGCTTTTCATTATCCGACGACAAAACCGAGAAAAAGCCAAAATTACCATTGCTTCCTGCAGCTTGTCAGAAACATGTGGCTTGAACCCACAGGGATGTCAACGTTAAGGCCACATTTGGAGTACACATTTGGCACCTAGAAGGCACGTGTGCAAAGTAATGGTCATTCAGGCCCAACCCTTAGGTTTAAAAAGAATGTCCTTCCATTTGGGTTCACTGAATGGAGAGACACATACAGTAATGGGAGAAAAGGAAGAACCCCGCGTCCCCTTAGACACAGACCCAGGCCTGTGCACCCAGCTTCCCACTGGGCAAGGAATGCCCTGGGCATTGCCATACAGCAAGCACGGGCTCTGCCACCAGTCCTCTGCGCTCCGATCCTTGAGGCCTGGTGATGTCTTACAAGCTGAGCACCGAACTATTGAGACACGTCAGGTGTCAGTGACCAAGAAGTGGGGTAAACTGTAGTCACATTGGTGATTACTCTGTTCTGTAGCTAAGAATATGTTCCAAAAGCCATAAGCCTGAAGGTTGGTCCTGCACGTGCATACACACACACACACACACACACACACACACACCCCCCACACATATGAATGGGACTAAGAGAAAGCTCATGAAAAAAAAAAAATACAGGCCATATCTTCTAAACTGCCCAAGTGAAAAGCAATCAAGTCTGAAAATTGACATTAGCTGTTAAGGAAGGAAATAATGGTACAGATTCTTTTTCTGTCTATCAAAACCATTTGATCCAAGTGAAATTAAAAAAAAAAAAAAGCTACCAAACCTGCCAGTAGTAGTGTGGTATATAAAGGCACATTGATGGACACACTTCAAAAGTAAAACATGGCAAAAAATAATAATAATAAGTAACTCCTATACTGCCCTCAAAAAGGAGCCTGCAATTAATGTCAGTCAATATTCATCTTTGCAAAAAAATCTGATTTCCACATTCAGCCAGTGTAGCCAGCAGAAATTTCTGATCCACAATGCATGGATTCCTTTAAAGAAAAAAAGAAAAAAAAAAAAAAAAGAAAAAAAATCATAAAAAACAAACTTTTTTTTATTCAAAAATAACAAAAGTTCTTGTAAGGTAAATAATGTATTTAGCATGAAGCATGAATTATTTTCATATAAATATAGAAAATAGAGAAAAGGCTATGCCTCTAATTTTTAAGCCCTTAGGCTTAGAGGTTCTTTGTTTTCCTCCTTTTTTTCCTTTATTTCTCTTCCTTTTTTCTTTTTCTTTTTTTTTTTTTTTTTTCTTTTTTTCTGGGTTTTTGTTTTGTTTTGTTTTGGTTTTTTGAAGCAGGTGTTTAAGGTTTAATCTTCTTCAGGGACAAATTCTGACTGTTGGGGAACTTACTCTGCAATATAAAAATCTCTTCATGCTCTGGTAGGGCTTGGATGGTTGACTCTGCACTGCCTTGTCTGCACTCAGCCCGACCCCTCTGATTCTCTACTGGAGAGCGTGTGCTTTCTCTTTGCCTGTACATGTTTAACATGACGCAATAATTCGAGGGCAAACTTCGTAGTGAGTGTGTATGATAGAATCAAGAGAATTATGGGATGCTTACTTGAGAAAACCATGACCTTGAGTTGGTTCTAGGAAAAAGGCAGTGAATATATGCAAATTCACCAGAAGGGGAAACATGCTAATGGGCCTTATTGGGTGAGGGTACGAGATAGAGTACACGTGAGGGAGGAAGTGACAGGAGGATGAGAAAGGCCAGCCCCAGGTGTTTCATTGGGACAATGCCATTTCAAAGTAAGAGAGAGGGGGCCGGCCATCTCTACCACCTCAGCACACTAACAACCTGGAATTGGACCACCTAGATTGTGAGAGCTGAATTTTGACAACCAGACGATGTCACGCAGACCAGAAACTTATCTTTGCCTAAAAAAAAAATATATATATATATATATATATATATATATATATATATATATATATTATTTATTTTTGTTTTTGTTTTTGAGATCCAAAGAAAAAGAAGAATATCATCTTCCATCCAAATGGAGGGAAGTGTTTAAAACAAAAGCACCTACTATCATGGCTCAGGATCTGGTGGTCGGGGACAGGGAGGGGACTAAGGGGATCTTGAATTTTTACACCAGGACACTTGTGAGCCAAAGTCAAGCCCATGGGCCATCACAGGCTACCGTCAGGAACTCCATCAGCCAGAATGCTCCCATCCCTGCCTTTCTCTGGGCTGCTGATGAGAGAACCTGGAAGACATGTCCATGTCGTGGCCCAGGCTCCTTCCCCTGCACTAAGCCTGAGTGCGTGCCCGTGATGTTCAGGATTAGGTGGGGATGCAGATCTATCTTTGCAGTGCTCCGTCCCCTTCGTTCTCCCCAAACATCAAACACCCTAAAAGCCATGCACAGCTATGGAACCTGAGCCACACTTCAATTTGTGTTGTCACCTGATTAAGCCCAAAAGGCCACCACCTCGATCCCCCAAACCCAAGACGATTCAATTCAGACTTCTCTCTGGAAAGGCAGAGGTAAACATCAGCACTGTTTCTGGCAGGGGACTTCTTCCAAGGAAAACCCCACAGTGGGCTGTCTCCCCTCATTTCATTTTTCTAAGGGGGCAGATGCCTCTCTTAGAAAATAATAAAATGCAATGTGTGTGATTTACTTTTCTGATCTCTTTTGAGAAATAGATAAATATAAGTGTGTTCTTAACTCCAGAACCACTCTTTTTGCATAAATACCTCATCGGGCAGCTAAGTGTTATTTTCCTGAGTCTCTCTCGGCACCTTCATTGGATCTTCTGGAAGACTTGTTGGGGAAACTTTAGTGAGGGTACTTTTTTCTATTTTTCTTCTGTTTTTGGAGGCATACACATTATGCATAACCAAAACAATGGCTCAATTGTGTTTAACTTTGTATTTTGACTGTTGAGGAAAAAAAAAATATCAATGTGTATGTGGCTGTTTGTAGTGAATTCACGAGGTTGTCCGTGTCCTTAACAAGCCAAGGGGCAGGAGGCACGCTCTCTTACCCCCTCCTCCAAGAGCAGTAGAGAATTTAAGCACAAGCCTATTTGTGAAAGAATATTTTGCTTAAATGTTATTCACTTTAGTCTTGGAATTCCTTCCCAAATGTCAGATGTTCTTTTAGCTTCCAAACTAGCATATGTATCCATTAGTCTGACCCATGGCCTGAGCACCATCCTGGGGTGTGGTGGTGCGCTTTCCTCTGTGGCGGTTTGTGTGTCATTCCAGTATCTCACATACTCATGGGGTGGGGGGAGGGGGAGATGGGGAACTATAGCAATATTTCAAGATGCTTTGGAGAACAACCTTGAACCCATCAGCACCGTGACATCTGCAAGTGCTTGCTATTGGCCCTCGGACACATTTAAGAGAAAGAGATCGTAGCTCTTCTTTCTTAAATGATATGCACATAGACAGTTATTTTTATCCTACTGTAATTGTCTTTTCTCTATCTAGTACTATGTGGAAAGGGTTTGCATCATAGGTTTTTTTCCCAGCCTTACAATATACCACAAGCTCCTACTTCCCCCACCCCAGTCAGTATAGTTCTTTGGCAAGGCCGTCTATCTGAAACTCAAAATGAACCAAACCCGCCCTTAGATGGTGGTTTGAGAAAACCATAGCCAAGACAACTGTCACGGGTTTCAGTCTCGGATCTCAGTGTTTGAGAAGGACTGTCAGAGGCCTTTCCCAGGAATGGATTTTTCTCCCAAGAGGCAGTCCGCATGTCTAGTGCTTGCTGGACACAGTGGTCACGACCACGAGGCATTCTGGAAGAGACCATTATGTTGAATGGTGCCCCTCCCTGGGGGACAGCGTCAGGCAGTGGACTCGAGTGAAAAACGTGTGCAGATGGCTGTTGGGCCCAGCTCAGAGTCCAGCACGCCAGGTCTGCCCAGCGACAAGTGCAGGTGGTCAGCCTCAATGCCTCCACTCTCCAGGGGCCTCTGGCGCAAGGGCTCTGACAGGAACCGGAGATCTGTGCAAGCGATGGACATGGGAGGGTTTTCCACATGGGATCGGGTTCAGTTTGATGTGATTTCTCTTTCCCTTTCAACTGTATTCAGGTTGGGACTGGTTTCTTTCTGGTGGATCACAGCTGCCCAGATGTTGCAATTTATTTTTATGTTTCTATAGAGAAGTCTTTTTCTTTTCATCTTCAGAATTTTTTAAATTTTTTTGCCACCAAAAGAAAACATCAGAACTCTGTGTCCCCTCTCGATTGTGACTTACCAGTGTTGACAGTTAAGTCTTTAGTGTTGTAGCTCCCGGCCCACCAATACTATATCAGACACTTATGCCCATGGTGCAGCACTGTGATCTAATTTAAATAATACTTTTTTATTATTTATACTACTATATATAATATACATCAACACTTTTGCTATATAACCTAAGTGATAAACCCCTTTTAGTTACCTGCCAAACTCTGGACTTTGGTTTATATTGCAGTTAACACAGTTACAAAGTTGTAATGGTGTCTCTCTCTCTCTCTTTCTCTCTCTCTCTCTTCCTCTGTAACGGAATGTGTAAATCAAAAGTGTGTACATTGTGTGGTGTTCCTGTTTCCTGGAATCTCATGAGGATTTACACACAGCGTTCAGTGTTCTGTATAGACCTGCCTCCCTTTGTGAACTCCTCTGTGACCTCTGGTCTTGGCGGCTAACTCCATGTATCTTCTCTCCTGCTGGTTACTCTTGAATTAAGCACAGACTCCTCCTCAGCTCGGTTGCTTTATCATGAATAATGTATGTGACCTTGGCATTCTTCCACAGTTCAGCAAACAAGTGCTAGCTTCACTGACCAAAAAAAATTAAGGAAGGAAAACACCATTTTTAAAATGATCCATCTTTTAACGGCCGAAAAACCGATGTGTCTATGGTGCTGCATCTCTGTTGCGCTTCTGAAATCAGACCGGTGTGAAAGATCCTTTCTGACTTCCTCTGAGATGCTCACAAGTACCCTTCCTGTTGTTTTCTTAGTGTTGAAGTTTAAGACTATTTATTTGGAATATATACAACAGTGTTTTTCCACTGTATTTCATTTGCAAAAGCGGAGAATCGCCTTCTCTACCTTTTTGCAAATTGTTGATATTCCATATTGGATTCTCACAGACTTCGATATGGTGAATCTGTCAAACTTAGAAATTGTATTTTATCCTTCCTTTCATGACTGTGGCCTGAGTTCCCCATGCCCCCTTTTTTTAGAAGAAACGTAGCACACTTTCAGTTCTTAGAAACGTCACTGTTTCTTGATGTGTATGTTGAGGCCATCCAAGCTTACAGCTGATTCAATAACCAGTTCCATCAAGTCATTCACGCTCACTACTTAACACTGCCATGGTGAAAATGTGGAGGGAAAAAATGTCCATGTGTGTCTGGGAAGCATATGCCCTTGTACATTTTTTTTAATACTCTGATTCTGTAACATTTATGAGTTTTGTTTTTGTTTTACAGAAAAAAAAAGTGATAAAGCAATCAGAAGACCAAGAGGTTTACGATTGACACTTAGGGTCACCTGACCTTAGCTGGCCAACGGACCTACATGGCCAAATTAATTTACAAAAGTAATAATTTTTCAGAAGCCAACTTTTTTTTTTCTGTATTTTCTGTCTGAAAACTGCCAATATCATGAATAGAAAGGGAGAACTGTAAAGGAGAAAGAAATCGATGTTCAGTTGTGTTTGTGTCAACCTAAAGAAGCAGTGTGGAGACAGGCACAGTCAGCCGAACTCTAGGGACGTGGTGGTGTTGCTTTGGAGGCGTATCATACTCGCATTTTGCATTCTTCATATGTAATCATATTGCCAAAGACAAACTATTTCATCATTTATTGTAAATAACACTTTTCCCCAGACCTACCATAAAGTTTCTGTGATGTATTGTCTTCCAGTTGCAATAAAAATTACTGAGTTGCATCAATTGATGAAAAGCCCCACGTAGTCTTGTGTGCGCTGTGACTCCGTGTGCAGAAGCCGAGCGGTAGAGTCTTCTCTATCTCACCTGCGGGAGGGTGGGCACGCTGGTTTTTGCCGTCTGGTTTCAGAGCCTCGGCTGCCCATCCCCATACATGCTTTAATCTGGGTGGAGACCACAGGCTTCTCTGCAAGGCACAGTCCAGAGCTGGGTTCACCTGTGGATCTTGCGAGTTCCAGGGTCTGGCGTGAAGAGCTGGGGGACCGCAGGCCTCCCACCACCAGCCTTAGAATGTGTGAAGACAAAACTTTAGAAGTTGTCAAATAACAAACGGAAGTTGTGCTCACTGGGGCCTACCAGCCTATCCCAGGCCCTGAGGGTTTTCTGTGATGACATTCTAAGGGTTTCATCTTTCAGGATTTATTCCATCACCCCTCAAGTGCCCACCCCCCGCCTGCTGCACACATATGCCCTGCCTTAGTCTGTTTTCTGTTGCTATCAAAAAAAAAAAAGCCTGAGGCTGGGTACCTTATGAAGTAAAGCGATTTATTTGTTTTTTGATTCTGGTGGCTAGAGGGTCCAAACAGTGTGGTGCCAACCTCCTGGCAAGGGCCGCCTGGCGGTATCACAGTGTGGTGGAGAAACAGAAGAGGGAGCCTGCAGTGTGCAGAAGGGGGACATCACGAGGAGACTGGAAGCAGGAGGTGTTCAGGGCCTGGCTTCTTTTTTCTGGTGATGTGCTCTCCTGGGGGATATCCTGGAGTCCAGGAGAGCTACACTAACCTGCCAAGGGTGATGCCCCTGGTTACCTTCCCCTGGACCTCACGTCATACAGTTTCCTCCTCCCCAGCCCCACCAGATGAACCTCTGGGGGACAGACCATAGCCATATCCCACCCCAAGAGTCAACACGGAGCTGGGTAGAAAAGAGGGGGAGTTTAAATAAGAAATAGGCCACTGGGCACCAGTCCCAGTGGGGGACTGGGAAAGATGGGGTTCTGAACAGGTGTTCCAGTTCCGTTGGTTCTGGTTTTGTTGCCAGTGTGCCCTGCCCACAGCTCTTGCTAGCAGCAGTGCCCCCAGGAGAGCTGGTCTCAGTCACCACCCAGCTACAGGGACCCCACGGCCGCTGTGTCTTGTCCTAGGGGCTCAGGCTGTATCTCTACCTCCTGTCCTCCTGTATCACCATCGAGTCCTGGGCCCGCCTCCTGGTGAGCATACATACCAAGTTCCCCCCGGGCAGGGGTCCCCCAGGTGAGGGGGGGGTCCCCTGGGCCTCCTGTGCGTTCAGCCATTGTTGCTGCCCTCCCCAGTCTTATTCTTGGAAACACCTTCAAAACCACGCTGTGTCCTCCCCGAGGCCCAGTGGAGGACCAGTCGGTGTTTGAGGAGACGTGATTGGGAGGAAGAACTGAAGTTGTTGAAGGACAATCTGATGAATAGGGTAATTGGCCAAAGATAATGCTTCAGGCCAAACATAAGGGGCCACCAGAAAACAGGACATGCACCCAGTGGGTTTCAGTAAGTGCTTCTCAAAGCGGCTGAAAGGGAGACAGCCCCTAGACTCAGAATGCCTGAGGCACCTGTCATAGGGTAGCCCCTGCAGCATTGGAACCGAGGACACCGCCTGTCCTAAGACTTCTCAGAGCAGTGAAAGTGCCTGGCAGCATCTCGGGGACCACGGAGGCCCCTGGAGACACCCACACCAACCTGGAAGGGTGGAAGTGAGGGGTGTTGTCGCCCCTCATCAGTCCCTCTGCTCTGCCTGATCAAGTATTCTGAACTAAGAAATCACATCCTTCTAGAAAGTTCTGAATAGATGAGGACATTTTTCAGAGGCTCAGAGGCCTTTGTTTATAAACTGAAAACTCATGAGCTGTCACTGTACTTCTCCTGACCCCTAGGAATTAAATGGTCCTATATCTGGTCAAACATAAGTGTCTTGACTTTTTTTTTTTTCATTGATAGAGATTTTTAAAAATTCATGAGCTGAATAAGGACAACTTTTTTTTCCCCTCAGTGTGGGGACAATTTTTTAAAAAGTAAAAGTGAATAAATTGGTATCTTAAACGTTCACCCCCTTTGTGTGGCATGAACAGACCTTTCCGGAACAGAGTGAATAATGTTCGTCGCAGCCGTACATGAATTTGAAATCATTCATGGGCATTTTAGGATAAAGTGTCCTTAATGACTTGAGAACTGTTTTTATGTTTCTCCATAATAAAGTCCTTTTGGAGTACACGCTAAATCTCGCTCAAATATAGCAATTTATTTGAGAGGGATTAAGAGTTCTGCTTTTTTTCCCATCTGCTACACATTTCAAACTGACTTCTAAAAATATATTACATGGGGAATACCAAATGATGGAGAAAGTCTGAAAAGAGTGGCTGATTTTGTAATCCCCCACCCCAGAGACAATTTCTTCATTAAATGAGTCTGTTCTGCTCACATAAAACTAAAAGGGTGTGCAATTCTTATGTGTCAACAATAAATAAATATTTTAGAAAACAAAACTGGAAGGGTTGTTGGAGAACGTCGAATCCAAACTTCCCAACTCACAGATCAGGCATCTCAGATGCAGAAAAGTAAAAGGACTCACCCAGATAAATATAGCTAGCCAGGCCAGGCACGGTAATCCCAGCATCTCGGGAGGCTGAGACAGGAGGATTGTTGAGTTCAAAGCCAGCCTCAGCAAAAGTGAGGCACTAAGCAACTCACTGAGACCTTGTCTCTAAATACAATACAAAATAGGGCTGAGGAAGTGACTCAGTGGTTGTGTGCCCCTGAGTTCAATCCCTAGGACCAAAAAACCCCCCCAAAACAAAAAAAAAAACCCACAGCTAACTAGCAGCAGGATTGGACTTAGAAGAAATTTTTTTGTCTTACCTATTGCCACATCCGACTATTTGGAATGCAATTTAATCACTGAATCGCCAGGATGTCCTAGCTGGCGATTACCCCACACATATACCCACAGCAGGGTGGTGCTTACATTTTGCATGTAGCTATAGTGAAAATGACAATAATATGTAACTGTTGCCTTCCTTTCTCATGTTAAAGTACCTTTCAATTTCTCCATATAAATAATACTACAGCGAACATCTTCTGGCAACAATTTACATATTCTCAACCAGTCTTGTGCTCAGATGGCCTATTGAACTATTGGAATGACAGCACTATCAATAGTGTAGCTTTTCATACACAGGCTTTTCAAGATGCATTATTGCTGACAGCAATGAGTGCAACCTGATTTCGTTGCACTTCCCAGCACTGGGTATTATTTTCCTCTTTCATTATTTTTCTACTTACAGTCAAAGCTGGTACTTGTTGCCATTTTGATCATTAGCAAAGTTACGTTGGTTTTCATATATTTACTGGCCATCATTTTCTCTTTTCTGAATCATCTGTGCAGACTTTTTGTATTGTATTTAGAGACAGGGTCTCTTCCAAGAGCTCAGAAGATGGAAATGAGGTGCGTAGATTTTTTCCACAATGTCTCTGATACAAGGATGACAAAACTCATCACCTGTCCCCAGGGGGGGTCCTTGCATCTTCTGACACTTCTAATTATCTTTATTTTGAGACAAAAATCCCACCCACTATCTAAAACTTTTACCAGAAACTTTTTGAACCATCCTAAAAAAAATGCGAACAAGTCATCTGTTCATAGCAACCATTTGTATGTTTGAGAATAACAGTAGCTGCTTCTTTAAGTCTCTTCCAGAACAAATATTCCAAGTTCTGCCTGCTCTTTTTCTCTTTTGGACATGTGCCAGTTTCTGATCAAAACAGAGAGGAACTGAGTATAAAATTCCAGGTGCAGTTTGATGAAAAAATTGTCACAGTCTCCATTTTAGATTCTCTATTTCTATTAATGTAACCAAAACCACTGATTCACATTGAACTTGCTATTAACTAAAACCACCAAGTCCTAGCTGTTGGTGTACTGCCTCCAGATATTTATTGTGGATCAAAGTAGAGGAGTCTATGCTTATCTCTATTAAATCTCACCTTAGACTTGGGCCATTGGTCTCAGCCAGTTCCCATTGACAGTGGGGTAGGAGTGCGAAGGTCCTGATTTTGTCATCCAAAAACATTTGTTGTTTTGGTTCATTTTTTTTTTGTTGCACTAAATACCACAGACTAAGTGAGAAAAAAAAGGAGGTCTGTTTTGGCTCACAAATCTGGCCCAAGGTGAAGGGGCTGCATCTGATGATGGCTTTGTGCTGGCCAAGTCCCACGGCAGCACAGGGGATCACATGGCAAGAGACCTGGCCACATCGGCTTTTAGAACAGACCCACTCTTGAGATGCCCTACTAAGTCAAGAGTCTGTCAATCACACGAATTAACCCATTCGTGAGGGCAGGGCCCTAAATCATCTCCTAAAGCCCCCACCCTCTTAATATCTCATAATGGGGGCTGAATTTCAACACATGCTTCAGAGGGCACAAACTGTCCAAACCATACCATTTGCTTTCCTTCCAGCATCATTCAATCATAGATTTGAAAATATCTTTTCTGACTCAGACAAAGTTGGATCCATGTGGCACAGTTCTGGAATCTTCCATAGTCGACTTTCATGTCAGTCAGCACCCTCAGAGGTCATGCCGCTGGATATGCATGCATTTGGCTTTCTGGAGATATAACTTTATATTTATTTCTCCATCCAACCAAAACCCTCCATCTCCAAGTATGAGTCCGCCAGAGGTCTTCCTTTATAAGAGAGGAAATAAGGTCACACTCTGAAGTGTGCAAATTTGAAAGTAGGCAATGGAAACACAGGAAGTTTCACATACTGTACAAACTTTAATGTAAGTTCTATTTTATTCCCATAGGGGCATTAATCTTGATTTATACAGGTATTAAATTAAATGAGTTCTTGGGGAACATAGACCTCACAGAAGAAACCGCCATTTGTCATTCATTCACTCACTCACTGTCTGAACCCAAGTTGGCTTCCATGCCAAGAGCTTACAAACTATTCTTGTAATTATCAATCCAAGATC